GGTTCTAGAGGTGACTGGTGAGGACGTAGACAAGTCTTGATGGGTAAGTAGGTTGATGTAGAACGTATCCAAGTGAGGGCGTGGTGTACAGCGACCAGCTCCTTACGTGGAATAGTCCACTTAGTCTGTGAGCTTGGGAAGACTCCTCCACGAGCCATGACCCTAGTAGTAGTATCTTCACCAGTGGTACACCTCACGTCCACACCCCAACATTCACCAGATGCATCTGATGAGACCAATAAGGGGTAATTCTCCAAGTCAATGAACCTCTCGAAGCCTATTAACGTAGTTATTTCCGTACACGACGTTGCCCATACTTTGATCCGATGGACCAAATCATCGTTGAGCTTGTCGTCCCAGTTTTTATGAGCCTGACAGACTTCTCGCCAAAGTAGTCGTCCTTGTATGTCTAGCTCAACGTAGAGGCCAAGAGGGTCGTAGAGAGAAGCCAAGGCTGCACAAGCCTGTAACTTAGTGACTTCACCATCTGGCACGTAGCCGGAGTAAACCGCGTGGAATTTGTCGACGTCTAACTTGAGCAGGTATCCAAGGACGGACTTCTTGGCACCGTCGTTACCGTCCGCAGTCAACCAGTTGCAGAAGGACTTAACGGGGTCATTACCGAAGCCATGTCCTGTGAAGACGTGAGAGCCGAACTCGTAACCAAGTCGTGCTTCCTCTCTAGTTCTCCCACCGTAATAGAGGTCATCAACGTATTTGAGTAGTAACATTCTAGTAGGTATAGAAGGACCTCGTAATATATACTCTACGCCAGTCGCAGAGGGCATTAATAGTGCCTGCTCGATCTGCACGTTAGAGAGTAGTCGTGGTGGTGAACCGGTAACTTCGGCCTTGTGTACCTCACGTTGTACAGACAGAGAAGACGTTAGAAGTCGTTCCATTTCCAGTACCACGTCGTGGCTAATTGCCTCTAGCATACAGGGGCATTATTACTGCCAAAGGCGATACTCGACCATAGGACAGTATAGTTCCCAATACACGTATAACTGGAATAGCCAACGTCGTATAATGAAGCCTTCATCTGGCAGAATGCCTTGGAGACGTCGGCAGAGATGAAGTAGGGAAAGCTCCTCAGCTGTAGTAGTACTCCTTGTA